TCAAAAAAATTCTAGAGCTTCTGAGAAAAAAGTTTGAAATTTAAGGGAAAGTTTGTTGCACTTTTTTGCGGTCTTTTAAAAAGTTTTAAACTTGAGTTTATGTGAGTTTTGTGAGAGAATGAACTGTATTTGAATTGAAAATTCTTAAAAATAAATAAATAAACATGAGTGGCAAACAACATCACTTTGAAATGGGGGTGCTATTGTATTGACCAATACTGTATATATATATATAAACTAAGGCGCCACCAAATTGAGGAACCACTTTCTTTAATTATAAAAATTAAACTCATTGATTCTAATGGCTATAGCTGATGCAGGCTACAAATTTACAATGTGTGAGATTGGTGCGTCTGGTCGAGAAAGCGATATTCGGGCATTTGCAAGATGCAAGTTTGGACAAATGTTTTATCAGCGAAAATTTCCGTAAGCTCTATTTTTTCTTTAATATTGCTTATATATTTTAACATCCTTTTTTTTTTTAGAATCCCGCCACCCAGAGATATCTCTGATAATAGTAAAAATATGCCGTACGTTATAGTTGCTGATGACGCTTTTCCTTTGGAAGAAAACCTTATGAAGCCGTATTCCCACCGACAACTAACTGAAGAAGAACGCGTCTTTAATTACAGGTGCTTTATAGACACGTTGGACATATACCTACATACATACATACAACTGATTGCAAAATATGAGTAGTCCCCTTGCAAAGTGCCCCATGTAAAATTTTTTCGATTTTTCGTTTTTGGTGGTTAACGTACCAGTATTTAAAGTAGTTTCATGTCCACTACCAATACAGTGCAAAATCCTTATATGTTCTGAAAAAAATAGCATCAAATCTTAGCTACTCCAGCAAAAATCGCTATAATACTTAACGTGTGTAACACTTGTAAAAGTTACTGTTTCAAAACTCGCTATATTATTTTTTTATATATTATTTGCAAAAACTACCATACTGCGATTTCGTTTTTTAATGTTATTAGGCTCTTACTTATCCAAATTTTCAGATCATAAAAAAATATACAATTTGGATTTTACTTGTTGTTGTAGACGTTTTTTTAAATTTATGGCTTACTATTATAAAATCAAATAACGCTGTTTGCAAGTGGACTACTCATATCAGAGTGGTAGAAAAGACATTTGGCATATTGGTTGCACGATGGCGAATATTTCGAGCTCCCATTGATGCTAAAGTAGAAACAGTAGAAGGTATCATAAAAGCAACAGTTTGTTTACACAACTGGCTTCGAATAAAAAATTGCAGCAACTATATTGATTAATGATTTGGTTAGTGAGTTAAATAGAAATGAAAGTAATTTACATAACTCTCCAAACGAAACAGTCCAAATTCTGCTAAGCAAATTCGCGATTGTTACAAAAACTATTTTGTTAATGAGGGCTCTGTCTCTTGGCAATAATAAATTAATTTAATGTGCACTAACGTGACAAACTGTAACCAAGTGTTAGTATTTCTTTTTTAAATAACCATTACCTGTAATTTAAGCGTATTCATTTTATAATAAAACACACGGATATTTTTAGAAAAAAAACATATTCTCTTTTTTCTTTTTATTACAGTTTTTTTATTGTTAAGACAGTGAAAGAAGATACATATTTACATATTTCTGTAACTACTGTAGTTCAAAATCCGCAAAGTTTTAGTTACACATAAATACAATCGTTATCATAAATTTCCATACCCGAATTCATTTAAAAAAATTCAAAACGTTTTCCACGGTACATTGTTTTTTGGTATTTTTAATAAGACTATAGTTTATTCTATAACTAACACCATATAAATTAAACTTCCAAACTTCGCACAGAATTCACAATAATTTTTCAGATTCTAAAAACTTTTCATCACAATTCAAACTCTTTAAACAGAGGTTAAAAAAAATCAGGCCATGTAAAAGTTTCAGATAGTTAAAATATTCTGTTGATTTTAGAGAATTTGCTTTTGCGAGCGTGTTGTGTGCATTTTCTTCCATGCAAAAAAAAAACTACCTGAAACTTGTATCTTATTGCACTAAAATTTAATGGGCTACAAAACTGCATACCTTGTTTTTTATAAGTCTGATTAAAGTGTTTGAAATTTTGATGAAAAGCTTTTAGAATTTGAAAAATTATTGTAAATTCTGTCCATAGTATAAAATATTATTAATTTATGTTTTCATATTCGCTTAGTTCTTCGTCAATAACGGACATGATGCGCATTTTTATTTTTCTAAATAGGGGGCCTGGCAAGTTTTCAAGGTCTAATCCAACACTTTCACCAAACTTTTTGCTTGGCTCTTTTTAGTTTCCTGCTGTTCCACGTATCTCCTTTTGATATTAAGCTCTTCCTTTTTTAAAGCGATAATTTCTGATAAAAGAGATATGTTTACATATACATATTTTGTGGTAAAGGAGTTGCATAAAAATAAAAGAGGTTGAATGGTTGCTAACCTTTTTCGTGGCTCATACTTTTGTTTGAAGTGCTTGGCCGTTCCTCCTCATGGTCATCTTCCATCCCCTCAGTAATTGCAGTTTGCCAAAGGCTCGTGGATCTAAATAAGCATATTTACTGATAAAATAAGATCGCGTCCAGTAGGCCCTATTTTCTACTTGAACATAAAATTCAACTGGGAAATCAGGACTCACTTAACGTGATCAAATTAATATAAATATCTACATATCGTCGTTTAAAGTACAAAACCGCGTATCAACAAAATGCAAAACCGCGTATGTGAGGTTGCATAAATTATTTTCTAGAGTAAAAACACTCATATCACAAAATGGTTCTCTTTTTTATAAAGCAATCGCATTTCTGACAAGTATATTTCAGGACGAATGGATAAGGATTGAGCCAAAAGCTGGTGGGAGGAAATACAATTTTTGGCAGCAAATGCGGTTTTACAGAATGACGATACGCGGTTTTGTACTTTAAACGACGATATATGTATACGTAAATGGTAACTATAAATAACACTGCACAACAGCCATTTCGCAAGAACCAAGGTATTTTTTTGAAAGTGGACATCGCTCAGATCATAAGTTTGGATAGTCCAGCACGTTTAAGTTTTTTGTTATTTGCACCACCAATCCAAAAGAGTTTTATGGAAGAGTTGAAGACTTGCTGTACTATTAGTTTTTTGAGCAAAAATGGTCAGTGCGACGACACCTTTAAGAAATATACGTAATCATTATATT